TCTCTGGGCTAAACTCGGGGACTGGAACCCTCTCTGGGCTAAACTCGGGGACTGGAGCACTCTCTGGGCTAAACTCGGGGACTGGAGCCCTCTCTGGGCTAAACTCTGGGACTGGAGCCCTCTCTGGGCCTGGCTCAGGGGCTGGAGCCGACACTGGAGCGAGCTCTGGGGCTGGAGCCCACACTGGAGTGAGCTCTGGGACTGGAGCCGACACTGGAGCTGGCTCAGGGGCTGGGATGAGGCTGAGAACTTTCTTTTCCTCCTCATCCTCCTCCTTTGGTTAAGGGTGAACAGCACGTCCGGCGGGCTAGACTGAGGAACAGCCATGATGGGTGATGACAGGGGGTTGATGGATTTAATGGGTGATGCTTCTGTGCTGGTGGCGAGGAGATGAGATCCGCTGAGGAACTGGGCCAGGTTGATGTAATCGGGCAGGGTCCACCTGGACCCGCCCAGTGGCATCCGCTTTGCTATCCCCTCATCCAGACCACCCTAGAAACAGTCCATAAGTGTCCACGGGTCAAGGGAAGCCTGCTGAGAGCAGGTGAGGCATTCAGAGACATGTTCCTCCAGGGGACGGCTGGCTTGGTAAATTGAACATAGTCGTTCGAGGGGATCCATTAGAATAACCAAAAGAAAACACTTTCAAAACTGGAAACAAAAAACACGAAGAGTAGGGGCACCGCTTACTGTTTAAGGTCCAGTATTCTGTCACGTACCGCTACTGTGAGGAGCATGGAGCGAGGAACGAGAAGACGAGGAGTAAACTTCCAACGAACAGACTTTATTTGACATCAAAGGAACCAGGAACACACACGTAGCGGGGAGAGACTACATTCAATACCAGACAGCAAACTCAGAACAGGAAAACAGAATCAGAATGAGAATGAGCTTTATTCACCACTTAAGTGTGCGCAAACACAAGGAATTTGTTGTGGTTTTACAGGAACTCTTGGTGCATACATACATACAAATAACCATATACAAAATAGTTATAGAAGTTCACAGAACTGACTCAGTGCATGTGGCACTTTAAGCATTATCGTATCGCATATCGCATTATTTAATGAGTTATCACATATCACATTTTTCTTCAATATCGCAAAGCCCTAACAGGCACAGACATTTCCGGACAGTCACGTTGTTTCCACACACATTCACGATAATGTGTTGATTTGTCATGTTTATGTTGCTGTGTTTAGTTATTCTGAATGGATCCGTGTACTGTAGTAGATATATGCAGCAGGTGGTTGGTTTAGGTTTTTTTTGGCATCTCCAACTTGACTTCTCTAAAATGTAAAAAAGCTCTTTGCTGTTGCACTGTACACATACTATAAAATTCTGATTTTTTTTTTCTTTCATATGTGCTTATATGGGCTTCTTATATCATTTGGTTCGGTTACGCAACTTATCTTCTCTAAAATGTAAAAAAGCTATTTGCTGTTGCACTATACACATACTATACAATTCAGATATATATATTTTTTTCTTTCATATGTGCTTATATGGGCTTCTTATATCATTTGGTTCTTTGGTGTCCTTTTGGAGTTTCTAAGTGCCCTTTTTTGGAAGGACATCTAAAGTTATCTTGAAAAAAGCTTGCAGAAAATATAGATTTTTGAGAATCACCCTTCAATCTTTTGGTTTACTTTGCTGGATATAGCAAATGATGACCAAATAAACATTTGAAAGAAGATAAATGGTCTATGCTTAATTTCATGAAATATAGCGTAGCGTTAGTTCTGGCAGGTCACGTTAGTCAAGCTCGCATCAGCTGACTCTCAGCTGATCCCCAT